GTATTATAGTGTACACTTTACTGACCTTAGTAAATGTGATTACCAGAATTAGCACTTTGGCATAGGAACGTGCTTCTAACGGCAGTATCGTAGTCCGAGCGTAGCAGACAAGGACAGCCTGATAGATATATTTGAGAGGGTGGCAACCAAGGCAAGCTCGGCTGTGCTCACGGCCCAAACATTTACCTGAAATATTTTAAACCCAGATTCACACTCTTTCTTGAGATCAAGGAGGCCTGAGCCCAAGCGTTGGCTTTAATCAACGTCACCTCTGACAATTGGTCTCGTCAGTGTTAGTACCCGTACTACTGCACTTCTTTTTGAGATTGAGGCGATGTGTGCCCAATGCTGTCTCTAATCACCGTCACTTCTGACTAATAATACAGCCAGAAATACTACCAGCACTACTATCACTCAAGTACATCCCTAGTTATTAGTAATAGAAAAAGCAGTAGCAGAAGCAGCAGCACTAGCCCTTGTTGCCTTGAGTCTGTTTTGACACCTACTGAAGGTTAGTGAGGATAAATAGTGCGGTAGTACTAGTGCAAAAAACTACTGCCACTTGAGACTAAGTAGGCGATGTTCCGGCCTGCATTTGTGAAAGCGGCATACGCCCGATTCCTGCTCGGTCATCTTGACTTTTGTCTTACCACCGGTTCAAACGGGGAAGGGTTTAGAGTGACAGCTGCGCGTCTATTTCACTTAAATCTCGTCTCTGTCTCCAGTCACATTCCCTGCTCCTGAACACATGGTGAACTTCATCGAAATCGATGGTCGAACTATCACATCACCCCATACATATCCAATTCAAAGTACTGATTTACTTTGTTAGCATAATAGTGACTTTAATCCTAATAGGGACAGACGATCCATGATATAAACAACAGATTAACCAATCGATTTTGGATGTGCTCATTGATCCTTCCCACAGAGCTGAAATTTGTTTACGAACAAAAGTAGGCGTGTATTTGGATGTATCCGATCTGACTATCAGCTAAGTAGCAGTTAGTCTCTAATTAGCAACGGCCAACTCCGGATCTAGAACAAAAAGAAAAACCATTAAAAGAAAACCACCTTCACAGATCTGAGACAATTAATTTGAATAATTGTGCCACTGATCTTGCGACAGTGTCGAAATCGCCAGCAACATTTTACTAGTCTAGCTAAGTGTGCTGTCAACCAAAGGTTTAGAGGGCCTAGGGGAGATATAATTAAATTAGGAGATTCCTCTTTAGGTAGTTCCGACAGTCTGCAAAAACAGTTAACGACCGTTTTACAGCTCCCTTAATTCATTTGACGGTCATTGAGATCGCATTGTTATGAATGTAGACAATGCCATCTTTATGCTATTCTCAATTTTTGGTGACTATACATAACCTGTAATTCACTTCCCCAAGTAAGTGTGTAGCAGTCAAGGGGTATGAGGCGAACTTCAACCACGCACACTAAGTTAATTCCGCCTAATGTAAGAAGACGATGAGCTCCGAGAACCGGGCAGGATGCCGCGAGTTGACTGTTTGATGGTTTGTCAGGACAAGGTCTCCGTTCGGGAGCGCGTAAATACCGGTGTGTTGGGTTCTCGTGTCAGGGCAAGGGAATGACTGTTTGAGTGTTGGACATGTGATTGGTTGATTCAAGGGCTGTTTCGGGCCGGCATAATCACAGGGGGTCAGAGGTGAAGAACTAGGCCGGCCGACCGGGTACGAGCGCAGCCGTGATTCAGCTCAAGTTAAGCCTGCTGGGGTGGGGAGCGTGCGTTAGCATCGCGCCTACAGATTAACACGGCCGTCGACTACTGCAGGAGCGTCGAAAGGAGGGGGCCAGTGGAGCAGCTGTTTAAACACCTCACCCCCTCGTCCTTCCCCAGGCGCCAAACTAAGTGAGGCGTTGCTATGTCAGTCAGCCATAAATCTGTCGGGCAAATGCACATGACGGTCGGATTTTGTGCGGCGAATCGGAGATGGATTGTGGAAAGCAGGTGATGCGGGCGTTACCGTCTGTGGCTGGGCGCTGTGGTACGGTGAGGTCGGTTCACCGTCGTCAACCTCGG